AAACCACTTTTCACTTCAGTGTGAAAAGAAGGACAGAAATTAAAAAGTAAAAAAAAAAAAAAAATACTCATAATAATAATATGGTCCTCACACTGATCTGAATAATATATCGATCTGCAGATCTTAGAACTGACCAATAGAATGCATGAAAAGGGAAATAAAATCCATGTTTTCTGGTTCTCCTGATTACGTTTAACTATATGGTTCAGGGCCTTGAAAGAAGCATGGAGGTTCTTGGCCAAAGATGTTTGAGTTGGTCAAACTAAGATTCAGACTTGTTAATTCCAATTTCAAACACAGAAAGTTTAACAATACCTCAACCAGATGATTGTAATTTTCTGGAGTTTTTAGTGCATCTTTCTTTGTCCTTATTATTGTTTTGGGTTTGGTCAGTTTTCATGAAGTTGTCATCCATACATGGTATAAAAGATAAATGTTGCTTCTGGGTTTGGAAAGTGAAGGTAAAACAGAAGAGCCTTAAACCTGTTGTGTTTTTAAATAGTCACCAGGGGGCGATACCTGTAGTTGCGATAAACCCGGGGTTTATAGGAACCAGTCCTCAGTCCTGACCTCCTGTTGACTTGTTGGGCTCAGTCACTTATTTCGGTCATACTGAATAAATTATTTCCGAGTTGAAAACACCTGTGGTGGTAAGCTTTACAGCGGAACTTCTACATTTTGTAGCTGTTTACCATCACAAGGGGGTAGTGTTAAAAAAATTCTCATGCTAGTTTTTAGATTTTTGACTATATGTTTGTACTTCTTTCTCTAAACATGGAGTTTGTATGTTGATCTCTTTTTTGTTTAGGCAATATTTCAAACAATCCAACAATATTCTCTCTGTCTCTCTCTTAAGGTTGTCTGTCTAACCTCCCGCCAAACGCGAAGAAGATCTCCAACTCTTACGAGGAGCGCCGTAAACAGGCCACTGCCATCGTTCTTCTGGGAGTCATTGGGGCTGAATTTGGCGCAGAGATCGAACCCCCAAAGGGCTTGGCCCGGGCTCGAGCTGGTGGACAGGCACCCGAAGGTTTTGGACTGACCAGCGGAGGATCGTCCAACTACTCCCTGGCCAGACACACCTGTAAGTCCAGAAACGGCAAACACACTCATGATAACACATTTACCGAATTTCCCAGAGGAACCCACCCGAGGGATTAATAAAGTTTTATCTAATCTACCGTATTTCCCGGACCACAAAGCGCACCTGAATATTAGCCACACAAGCTAAAATCAGGGGAAAATCCTGTTTTGTACGTACATTAGCCGCACCTGACTAAAAGCCGCAGGTGTTTCGATGTTGACTTATCATATGTAAGAGAATATGCACAAAGGGAATTGTCAGGAAAGAGATGGCTGTTTGGAGACACACCCCTTTTATTAATATTTTGAAATACAAGTTACGGGTACATATTTGCATAACTTTTTAGGCATATGTACAAGCAGCGGTAATTACAAGTACGAAACATGTACTGTGCTTCATAAACGAGTAACAAATGTAGTACATAACAATAACCTACAGCACACCAGAAAAATAGATTCGGACTACCTTTTCGGCTCAGATGCAGTGACACGGCTTTAACAAGAAGAAAAGTTAGTCATTCATCACCATCTTCCTGCGCACTAAAACCACCAAAGTCCTCCTCGCCAGTGTCAGATACGAACAGGCTTAGGATGGCTTCGTCATCCACTCTTCATTTCTCTCCTTCGTTGTCACTTTCAAAACCAAACAAATCCTCGTTGTCAGTGTCAGAGTCGAACACCCTCAGAAGGGCCGTGGCGGTGTCCTCCTCTCCATCATGCAGCAGTCCAGCCCTTCGAAATCCGTTGGTGATCATGGATGTTTTCACACTTTTCCACGCTGTCAGAATCCACTGGTGGAGTTGGGCATAACTTACTTTTCCCAAGTGTATCGCTGCTCATCATCCACGGGTCCCGCTGAACGCGTAGTGCTACTTTGAAGTTTGTTTTTCGCACTACTTCGTACGGCACTACGTTGCCTGGCGGATGGACATGTGACCAACATACCACTCTTGAACCCCGATCCTTCCGCCAGGCAACGTAGTGCCGGAGAACAGCGGAACAAACAAAACAAATCCTCTTACGATATCACAAAAATCATGGACAATCCTTAGAAAAGCCGCACCTGACTAAAAGCCGCAGGGTTCAAAGCTTGTGCAAAAAGTAGCGGCTTATAGCCCGACAATTACGGTAATCTAATCTAATCTAAATTATTTGGTTAAATTTGCAGCCCAAAATTCTTCAAATGGACCACCAAGATGTGCACATTTTGTTTAGTTTGATAGGTAAAGAGAAATCTTAAAAACCTTTGGATGGATATGGCTGTGGTGCTTATAGGTTTTACATTTTTATGTTTGTGTAAATTCTGCAGAAAATCTCTAGTCCTGGCAGGTGTCACCATAGCAGGTGTGTTGTGTCCTAATGCTTTATGATACTAACCTGTAGAGACTCTCAGGACTGTGTGTTTTCAGCTTTCAGAAGCCTGTAACGGTTTCTTTTTTCTTTTTTTTTTGCCCATTTCTGCGCTACTGAATTTGCTTGCTCAGTGTTAGAGTTTTGGTTGCTGCTGTGTTGGGTTTTTGGAGCCAGAAGTGACTGTATAGTACAGTACCTACTAATTAATAAGGGACAAACAAATAAAAACAAACTTTCTTGATTGTGCCACATACAAGCCCGTAGTTATTGTCAGGTAATTCCACTAAAATGCTCCAAAAGCCACCAATAGCACCGTTTTATTATTATTTTATGAGGTTTAATTGGTTCCCAACTTAAACCCAATCAAATTTTAAAAGCATCTAGCCAACTAAACTGAAGTAAAAAACATCCTAAAGACACCCCGTAAACATCCACAACTCCACAACTGACATAGTAGAAACTTCAGTGCAGGATTAGAGGTGAGTAGAGATGGGATTGATTTTCACCTGCCAAGCTTGACACCTTAAGGAGCTTGGTGCTGACTTCCACACACACTCGGCGAGCCCGGCCCTGTGCCACGCTGTGCCTGCAGCGCTGGACCTTGGTGGGCATCAAACCTGCACTAAGTAGAGGTGCTCTTCCGTCCCACTGCTCCCGTGCTCTGATTGGCTGCCTCTGGGGGAGGGGAGGGGGGCATCCGCCCGGTGACACAGCCTGCGCTCTCGCCGATAGGCTGTGGAGCGTGATGCTTCTTAGCTGGACCTGCACACAGCAGTCGGCTCACCTGTGTGGACACACACACGCACCAGAAACCTTAAATCCATGTCATGAGATGAAAACAACTCCAGATTTAATTGATTTCCTGGAGCCATACTTCACGACTGGAGACGCCGAAAAGCTATTAATTATAACTGCTTTTTTAAACAATCATCAGCATTACATGTAAATATGAATATGAACACACTGAAACTACTCCTTAAGATTTATTCTAGTTTCAGCCATGCTTATATGGAAAATGAGTTAATTAACAACCTGTGTGGCTAACGTTTGGTTTCTATTTTTTACTCTTTTTTTTTTACACAACGCCCAAAACGGCGCTGATCAATTTTTAAGCCAATATACATTTTTTTTTGAAGTTGAAAAATCAAGTTATTATGTTCTCTATTAGCAAAATTTCCCATGAAGTTAGATGTTGCAGACACAGGAAGTGGTCTGCTAGGCCTTAAAGGTCTTAAAGTTTCTATTTTGACTTGAAAGTGGTGAAGGAACAATGTTCAAGATCAGATATAGTTGATACTAGTAGACTGTAATTAAATGGTGGAAGGGTGCGTATGCACATATTCTCTTATATTGGGTCATCTTATGGTCCTAATTAGCCTGGTTATGTATACACTGCAGCACAGTTTAGGACGTTTTTATGCTTCCTCTTCTTTCTCATAGGTTTTTGTTACTCCTACCTCCTCCTCCTTTTTACTACTTTTGTTCAGTTTGTTGTCCCCCCCCCCCTTCCTCCCTCACTCTGTTATGAAATTGAAAGATGGATCGGTGTTGTTGGCGTACAGCGCAGTGTGTGATGAATGAGAGCTGTCCACCTAGAGAGTGGGAGGGTACAGTAGCCTGTAGTATAGATTGATGTTTTCATATGGCAGGGGTGGGGGTGGGTGGGTAGGTGGGGGGAATCGAGCTTAAGGATGGACGGATGGACCGATGATGACGGTGGGAAGGGGGAGGAATTATCCTGCTGTTGGGCAGGATAGGAGAAACAAACTGAACATCAGTGTGTTCAGTCTCTGGACAATAAAAAGCTCACAGTAAATGTCAAAATGCTCCGAGTCCCCTCTGAGGCCCACTCAAGCCTGATCCGTGGCATTTTCAAACATTCATGAGAGCTGATTGGAAATTGAGTTTACTTTGTGTTGTAGGACATTTAACAGGAAGAAGCAGGTAACGGAAGGTAGAAATGTCTCTGCTGCTGTGAGTGGGATACAAGAAATAGAACAGTTTCTTCATCAACACTTGAGAAACAAACAGAAGGGGAAATGTTGGAAACTTTCAAGCTCAAAGTTGTACATTTATGGGGGGAAAAAATCCTCAAACACTGGAAAATTTACAAGGTAGAAATTACATTGACAGCAGATAACTTGTGAAAAGTGATGAAGCCACATCGAGAATCAGGAGAGATCTCATCATTTGGTTGTTCGTCTGTTAAAATCCTTTCAGACGTTGGCAATAATACACAGAAAAAAATGGCATAATGCATGCCTGTCATATCCTGATGATCTGGATCTGCAGGCCAGTTATTACCAGATGTAGACGGGGTGAGACTGACTACAGGGTTATGCAATGTAATGATGGACATTACATTACACTTCTCATGTAGGTGCACAGCCGTCTCTACATGAGCTAAAACCTTCATTCTTTCTCTTTTTGTCTTGTTTTTCCTCTCCGTCTCTCTCAAGCACTCTGCAGCCAGTCTGATCCAGCTCTCATCCACTAACCAAGTCCCCAGCATTGATTTACCTTCACCTCGCATTTAAGCTCAAACAGAGGAAGAGAGGGAGAAGGGGCAGTTAGCAGATGGAGAAAAGAAAGCACAAAGCCTGTTAGCGCTCGTTTCGGCCTGGTAAATTTTAGACGTCACCAATCTGTCACTATATCACACACTCTACTTCTCCCTCTCCGTCTTCCTTCCTTCCTTCCTTCCTTCTTCCCTCCTTCCTCCTCTTCCTCTAATCATCCTCTGTGTGTTAATGTGACATGTTTACTGCCCTAACTAACAGCTCATTACAGCCGACTGATGCTTTGTCAATAGCAATCGGTTCATTTGGGAGCCCGGTGCTGCCTTTAAACAAAGATGTCCGCTGTGAGAAATGAACCCTGAGTCAAAGCCTTCCCCTCACTGGGAATGGGGGGAGGGGCTGTAAATTTGAATCTCGATCCGGCCAATTACTGTGCTGACTGTTAACGGCCGTCTTTAATTGTCTTGCAAGGAAATAAAAGTAAAATAATGAGGCTTCGAAGAGCAAATGTGGCTCTGTGGTCAGAGTGGGCTCTCTTAGGGTTTGTTATGCTCACACCCCACCCACATTTGCTGCTCACACTAATGAACTTTGACCTCATGACCTCTAAAGCCTATTTTGTATTAGGTGGAGAGAATCGGTCCCCTGGCTCACTGCTCTGATGGATTCACACTAAGAAAACCACTAAAGTTATAACATTTAGCCTGTTTGAGGACGATTAATGCTCATCTTTGTTTGGAAGCGTCCCTAAATCTCCCATAAACATTTTTAAGGGGCACACTATTGTCTTTCTAACTGTCATTAAAGATTATTTTCTATTTTCACTGATTTTGATTGAAATAAAACTGTCAATATGAGTAGAAAGTTGATACTGAACATTTATGTACACATGAATGTGTTTTTTAAAAAAAGCCGGAAACTCATGTGTAATTGATTTCTGTGCGGCTGTTATTTGTAACGATCACTAAGTTGAGGTCAGAGGTCATGGAGCCCCATATTTCTGCTGATATTTATAGTCCGCAGTTTTTAAGCTTATTGATGCTTTTTATAAAAACATTGATAGATTTGAGTTCACGTCAGTGTTTGCTTACTTGCTGGGGGTTGAAAGTGCACAAACATACCTGATCTGCATGCTTCATTGTTTTCACCAAGCAGCAATAAAGGAGATGCTGCAGTTCCTTTGGTGACCACTTGAGGCTCCAAAAGTTAGGCGATCCCCATAGGCTCCAATGTTAAATTGACCACCTTTACAGCAGAAATAAACATATTTACAGCCTCATACAACAAATTGTTTTGTTTCCCCCATCATAACAATTACACAGAGGGGTGAATCTTTTTTAAAAGGCAACTTTTCTTATTTTCTTGAAGTTCTAAGTTTGTATTATTGCTGGCATATGCTGCCCAGTTAAATTGACTTCATTTCAATTAGTTAAAGTTACTAAACTAGACCTTTCATATTGTGTTTAGGGTGTTGGTGAATTGTATTGAAAGATTGAAATAGTTACCGTGTCACCTATTGGTCTTTAGACTTTCTCTCTTGTTTGTTTAGGTTTTTTTTTTCGTAATTTTAATCCAATGTGACAACATTTGGACTTAAAAAGCAAGTCCTAAATTAACAGCTAACACCAACAGCATTAAAGTTGGAATGTTCCAGTTCAAAGTATAAAATTGAACTTTCCTTTCCAGTAAACAGTAAAGCTGACATTTGCGAGTCTGCCCATGAGTTATTCCAGGTATCATTTAGGTTTTTTTATGATTTATTTGATATTCTGGTGTGTTATTACTTTCATCTCACTACCTCGTTCAAAGACTGTCACTTCTGGCTCCAAAAAACCAATGTGGTTGTGAAGCGAAAATTGGAGCCTTGAAAGTGCAGAGCTCACAAGCCAATATAAACCTTATTGTCTTAACTATACCAGCTAGCAACATTAGCCAATGCTGTCAATGTCTGTAGATAGCTGCTATTCTTACACGGTTAACCTCTTGCCATATCTTTCATAGACCCATCCATAGGTTTTTGTGTGTGTAGATGTAAACCAATAAGGAAGGGGGTTTGCCATTTAAGGCAGGCTGATGATGAAATGCCAGGAGATTCTGGTGATGCGATTAGCTGAGTGCGTCTGGAGACCGGTGGACCTTTAGAGCCACCACAGGATTATAACTAAAGTAAATCATCTGTTTTATATTGTATGTTTCTTCATTTTATGCCTATTTAGCTTTTGCATTTCAAGTGAAAACACACAAAGGGTCGTATTGATTTCTGAGACTGCAGCAGCGGCAGAAGAGAACAGACAAAAGACAGATTTTCAGCTTCACAGTAGATAAAATGAGAACTTAAATGCATGGTACTCAAAAAAGAGGATGAAACAAATGAAACTCTTTTTGTTTGGTGTTATCTTTGGACCTCTGCCTGCAAAGATAGGTGGGTGAGACGAGCTAGGAAAGACAGACAGATGTGAGGTGGGGAGCACAGAGGGTGGTGGAAGGAGAGCGTTATTGAGGGGTGGGGGTGGGGGGGGAGGATTTTTTTCAGGAGTCTTAATGGTCAGTCTGTCCCCACAGAGACTGGCTCAAATGTCAGGTCAGCTATGAAGTGACCTCCATCCCACTTGCTGTCTTTATCCTCAGAGTGTGTGTCTGTCAGTGTGTGTGTTGGACTATTTTCACCCAAAACCTCACCAAAAATATCAGGACATATTTTGTCTTTATGAGAATGTTTTCCTTTCTTTTCTTTGTTTAAGATTGCGCCTGTGGTGCAGCTTGAGGCTGCTTTTCAGAGCTGATGGGATCCTGAAAGCTAATATTAATGTCCTTAAACTGACAAAAATTCCAGCATAAGAGGGTGACTGTGTGTATTCTTTAGTATTGTCTGATGCTGAACCCTCACAGGCTGAAACTCCTGCTGTTTTCTGATAAAACCCTCTGATTTGTTTCTCTCTGCAGGTAAGGCCCTGACCTTCCTGCTGCTGCAGCCCGCCAGCCCCAAGCTGCCTGCCCACAGCACCATCCGACGCACCGCCATCGATCTGATTGGTCGAGGCTTCACCGTGTGGGAGCCATACATGGATGTGTCGGCGGTGCTCATGGGACTGCTGGAGCTGTGCGCCGATGCCGAGAAGCAGCTCGCCAAGTGAGTCACGACGAGCCACTTAAACAGAAATGAAGTTGCTGCCTTTTTAAAAAATGTTTCATATCAGGCAGAAGATGCTGACAAGATAAATGTAAAAGAGTTTTAAGAGTTTCCTGCTCACTTTGCCTTCATCTTCATGGAAATCATCATGAGAGTCTAACTGCATGTATACTAGAGTCCTTAAAAGTGTCATAGTGTTGGTCTGTTGTGTTGGCATGAAGGCATCCTAAAGACACACTACTAAAAGATCAGGAGTCGTGGTTTCATGCAGGCTGCAGTGGTCGTTGGGGTTTTCACCGACTGATTCTCCTGTAAGGGCAGACTGGTTGAAATGGGCCCTCACTAACAAATAGTTTCTTTTTTTTTTTCACTCAGTATTTTCACATTCACACCGATTTGACAGAGTTTCACATAATTAGGTAATTTTTTAAAATTAAAAATCTCCTTTTGCATCTGGAAATTGAATGCTCTGCATTTGTTAACTTTCTCTCCAGCAACTGAAAACAGACAATTTGTCTGTACTCACTTCCTGTTTGTTAATTTGTTTGTTAAATTGTATCCGTCCCTCTCAGATTCCAGAGTATATCCTATAGATACAAACATATGCATCCGCTCAAATACAGACACACACACACACACACACACACACAAACGAACATTATATAGCCGACACAGTGAGTTATGGAAGCCCGACTCTAATCTGATTTCAAGACATTATGATGATGTAACGATGTCTGCGTTGGCCTGACACGAGAGTCCTCTGTCTCTGTGCACACATTTGTCTTTTTCTTCATTTTATTTAGCATTTTGTGCCCCACTTAAAGTGGCTCTTAAAAATTTCCATCTAGAAAAGTGAGCAGATTGCCCTGCAGTCTCTAGCTCCAGACAAGATTAACCCGTTAGACTTTAATCAGGTGAGAGACAAGATCAGATGTTAACAAAGTACACAATATAAGCGCCAGAGTGTGGACTCTTGATTTCCCAGCTTAGATAACGCCTTTAAATATTTTTGGAGAACTAATATGAGCAAACGGTAAAGACACTGACACTCCGACTTGCTGAGTTACAAGACTTTGTAAAACCACAGATGTCAGCAGAGCCGGTTTCACGTACTCGACCATCAACATTACTGGCAGCAGAGTCGAGGTCAGAGGTCGTGGCTGCCTTCATGCAGTTAAAGTGAGGTTGTGGTTTGAAGCAGCTTCTTACACAAGCGAAGGTCAGGGGTCATGCAGAGAGGCTAATTCAGTCGCTTCTTCTTCATGTATGATACAAAGAGCGTGTGTGTGTGTGCGTCTTCTTCCCTGCTGAAATCTAACTGGCCAATATGAGTTGATCCTATTAAGTCTGAAACTCGAGCTGGCACAGTCTGGTTAAATGAGTATAGATATGTCTGCCGCTGTGTGTGTGTGTGTGTGTGTGTGTCCGTGTCCGTCCGTGTGTTCGTTCATTTTTGTTACCTCCCTGGGACCTCTCTCGGTATAAACACTGACCTTAGTCCTCATGGGGACCCAAACCAGGTCCTAATGAGGCGAAACATCGTTTCTGGGGTCCCGGTTAGGGTTTGTGTTGGGCTGTTCACAATAAATTGAAGTCAGTGAAGTATTCTAGCAAGGAAAGCTGCAGAGTGGTGTGTCCGGAAGAGAACTGACACAATTCCATTTTAATGGAATACATTTTCGGTCAAATAGAAAGGGAAGATACCTATAAGATCCACACAAGAATTAATGCAAAAAAATATTGTTATAAGTTACAGTACAGTGAAAAAACATTGATACAGTAAAGTTGAATATGCCAGTAGTGCAAAAAATAGCAGTCAAAAATTTGCTTGACTCCAAGCAACTTAATCCTCACAGTGCTTCCAGTCACACCAGGAGCGTCTCAGAAGCATCATTTTTAGTTTTTTTCCCTTCCCCCTTGCACAGTCTTTTATTTTGAAAATTTCCTGTGTTTGACGTGCGTCTCTTTTCACCTGCTTTGTCATTTTATATTTTTAGTAATTTTATATTTCAAGTAATTGCTGACAAGCTTATGCCCTGGTGAAGTGCTTGTCTATCCCTCCACAATTTAAATATTTACTACTTCTTTTGGTGCATTGGTCAGATTTTAACTGACACACATTGGTCACTTTAGGAGCTCTTTGCTCCAGGTTATTATGTGCTGAATGAGCTACCACCTCACTGATGTTGTTTGATCTTTTGTTCTTTTAATAACAAATCTTCATGAACCTTTAAAACATATGATGCAACACAAGACAACAATAAAAATGTATAAAAAAAACAGGCAGACATAATTGTTATAATCTTGTCTTTAAAAAAAAATTTTTTTTTTTTTTTTACAGAACCCCAAGTTTTACACATTTATTCCACCTTAAATCACATGTTTCTGCGAATATAATCACATCACATGGAGATGATGTCCAGTCAAAATGCATAATTTAAGTAATCCCTATAACGTGTATATGGATCTGCATAATATGCCAGTAACTAAATTCAGATTAATTAAAGGGGAATGTTAAATAAATTAATAAGAAATGAAAAATAAAGTTAAGGGTAACAGTCAGAAAAAATACTAAACTGGAAACTGAAAATAAATTTAAATAAAGGATTTTTGAACATTCAGTTTGAGAAAGATTATCTCAAGTCTCCTTATAGTAACAGCTGTCCCTATAATCCTTTGATAACCTTTTCAACATAGGCAAAAATTTGTCTATATTATCTATCAACCTCTGGAATCACATTTGAGACTAAACTAAGGTATAGCAAAAATAAGCAGTAGCACTAATGAGAGCTTCAATTAAGCTATTATCATGTGGTGTGTGTTCAGGAGTCACATTATAGGTGAAGTGTTACAGTATCAAATGTTCTTTTTTAGATACTTTAGTTTAGAGTCCTCAGCAACTTAGTGGTGAGCTTAAGTAAATATTAAAACTTAAAATACACACACACACATTTCATGACCATGCATAATTAATAATGTGAAGTCCGCAGGTGTGTGGTGTTGCCTCCTGGTGTTGTTGAAGTAAACAGCACGAGGGCTGATCAATGAGACGCACAGTAATCATATCAGTACATTATAATACATACGAAGAGGATGCACGAACGAACACACACACACACACACAGTCAGTATTCAGTATTCCTTCACTTGGGCAATTTTCTTTTCTGTGGACAGAGAAACAAGGAGTTGAATGCATTACTGGCTAAAAGAGAGCACACACGCTCACTCTTTCTTTCTCCGCTCTCTGTCTGAGGATGTATTTCCATGCAGCTGACTTGCAGTGAGGCTTTTTGTCCCTGATCCATCCAACCAGTTGTCAATACACTCCTCGCAGAGCTGTGTGTGTATGTGGGATAATCCCTTTTCAATAGGTAGAGATTTGAAAAAGCTCCCGGTGTGGAAGACTTGCACTTTATATTTTCAGACACACGAGCCAAAAAAAAAAAAAGAAAAGAAAGGGAAAGAAACTGCTTCAGCAGTCTCCACACAGTTTTCAAGGAATCCATTCTAAGAGGTAAAAGCTGCTTTCAGCAGACGCACACCTTTATATGCTCGGCCTGTCTGCTTACTGTCTGAATAAACAACTGAGTTACTTTTATGTGAAGGTCATCGGTGCGTCCTGACCCTACTAGGGTTATCATAGTTACTACTAACTAAAGCTAAGTGTTAAGACATATTTTACTTAACTTAAATAAAAAGTGTATTAATAATAATAATGATAACTAGACTATAAAAAATAACAGATAAAAATACACAGAAAATATTCAGGGTCATTTCATGAAAAATCAATCTGCGCCTTCCACCTGACCCATATAGAATCGGCATTTTTCTCTCTCTCGTTCATTTATGTATTTATTCTGTGCGTTTACCTCTGTGCATCTAACCAGAAAGTTCCACTGTGGTCGAATCTATTTCACAAGGGAGACCTGGCCAAGGTAGCAGCCTCACAAATTCTTAATATATTAAAAATACAACACAAAGTACAAGACATACAACATGGTATAAAACACTAGTGCTATCTCCAGGAAACGCTAACACATTCCATATTCCGTATAATTTCATATCCAAAGTCTGTGGTGAAGCTACTAGAGTAGCTTTGCATGATTAATGGGTCGTAATAATCCATATTCCCTTAAGACTCACTGGCCACCACTTCATTAGGCACACCTTCCCAGTACCAGGTTGGACCCTGCTGCTTTAATTCCTTGTGACAATGATTTAGCAAGGTGCTGGAAACATTCCTCACAGACTTTGCTAAATGTTGACATGACAGTATCACATTGAACTCATTGTCATGTTCAATAAACCCGAATATTTCAGCTTTGTCTCACTGCGCTGAAAGCAGAAGATGGATACAGTGTGGTTATAAAGGGGTGGACAGGATGAGTGACAATGCACAGGCAGAATAAAGCAGGATGGATCAATGCTTTCTTGTAGTTTACACCAAAGCCTGACCATCCAAATGTTGCGGCAGAAACTGAAACTTGTCAGGCCAGTCAACGTTTTTCTAATTTTCTGTTGTCCTGTGTTGGCGAGCCTATGCAAACTGTAGCCTCAGTTTCCTGTTCTTAGCTGGCATGGGGGACACTCGGTGTGGTCTTCTGCTGTTGTCTTCTTCTTTAAGGTTCAGTGTTTTCTGCATATCTTTTTTTCTAATGAGTGCTTATTTGGTAACTACTCTCTGAGAGACAGAGAGAGAGAGTGTTTTACCCAGGTGGTCAGTCATAGCTAGCCTACAAAATCATAAAGAATTCAGTGGTAACCAATTAATGTAATGAAACAAAGAGAAGCATGGCTGACTGAAAATGGAGTAGGTTGTGTGCATATAATCACAGGCTGAAAGGTAGCTTCTACAAGTAGTTTTTATTCCTTAAGTCAAAACCACTTTGAGATTTCTGCCATGATCAGCAATATGTACATTAAAGAGAAAAGCTTAGCATCTTTCCATACCCCCAAATAGTTTTATGCTAAAATTGTGTGGCTTGTTACAAACAGGATTTGACTGCAAGCTTTTTCTGCAGTATCTATTCTTGTGGCCCATGCACTATTGTATGGGTATCCTGATTAAAGCTTTTTCCACAGTGATTGTTGGATCTTTAAATTCTGTTCTCATTTGCACTATCTATAAGATCACTCTGAATTTAAGCCCGCTTTCGTACTACATATCTACAGAGATATCACATTTATATAGAAAGTTTTCTAAAACTTTGAGGGTGTTTGAATCTCCTCCCTGTCTCCATCCAATCAGAGACCACCACAGGGATAAATGCATGTTTTCAATGTGTTTGTCTTGCAGGGATAAATACATCTTTTTACACTGTATTTTGTCTGTATTCAAGTTTTGAACGATTGCGTTTGTCGTGCAGGGGTAAATGAATGCTTTGGCTATCTGTGTGTCATGCAGAGATAAGTACATGTTGTTGTCACCATGGATGTCCACTCATGAACCCTAAAGGAAAAACAAAAATCTGGAAACTGCAGGTCACCATTACTGATCAGTTTTAATCTGTGGGTGTGTTTGTGTAAATTCCACCCAGACCTGAAATAAGGCTGTCAGTAACTCAGGAATATCATAAATATTATTCCAAAATGTCAAAAAAGAAATGAAAAAATTAAAATTAACCACTGAAAAAGCCAGTGTCTGCTGTAAAGATTGCATCAAAAGGTTGCCCTACTCTCCACCTCTCCACCATGCTCTCTGCAGTCTGTGGATACATTTGCAGTCAGTAAACCATGCCTTTTAAGCAGCTGAGAAAACCAGTTAGTCCATTTAGACCAACACAGTGATGCATGACCAGCCCATGTCAGAGTTTATGTGAACAGGTCAGCACACGCCAGCTAACCCTCCACAGATTGGACACCGCCAAGCTTTTAAGCATCCATCTTGTATTTTTTTTTTTTTTTTGGTCTAAAAATCTTTAAATCTATAAAAACTGTTACCTTTAGATTAAGCTGTTTAAAAAAAAAAAAAAAAAAAAATGATACGTTTAATAAATTGAACTTTAGTTCTTTCCATTTAATTGAATTGTTTGCTGCCATTTATTCATTTCATCAATATTTTTTTGTTCTTGATGTTTATGAAAAACTATGAATGATGACCAAAACATAACTCAAAACACTCCTTGTAGAACAGAAGAGACAGAGTGTTGACATGGCAAATGGACTGGTTCTTATATAGGGCTTTTCTGCTCTGCCTTCTCTACCTTTATACAACGTCCTGATTCAACGGTTCACACACCCATTCTTACAAGCACTTTTTTCTATGTTTTGTCTACATAAATGCTTTCTAACATTCTGTCTAACAGCTTGGAGTTAGTATGTTGCCCAAGGATATTTGGCATGCAGACCAGAGCTGCCAGCAGATTAGTAGATGCCCTGCTCTACATCCTGAGCTGATCAACATATTCACAAAAATTCCCTCCAGCATACTTACTCAGTTATTACGGTAAACAAAGTAAACAAATCACCACCCCGGGATTATATAGTGTCTTTAATCTGCATTCGTTTTAACTGTCGCCAAGGGGTGACACAAAAAGACTTCTGGTCTGGTACAAATCTGTTAAAATTACTCTCTGCCCAAACCTCTGTAAAATGTTTCCTACCTATTTTATGGGCTCAGTCCCTCAATTTTAGGTGATATTAAATAGAAAATATGAAATTCATTTTGTAACTGTCACTATACAGGATATGCTTAGCCAATCAGCTTGAAGCTCGCGCATCACTCCTCAGACCTGGTTTAAAAACAGCAAGATGGCAAGAATGAAAACACTGGTGGCTACATCCATCTTTTGTAAGGTCTATAGCGAGTCCTGTGGTCGGACCAAATGACTGAGAACTTCCACATGTTCAATCTTACTTGTTAAGAACTGCAGAACGTTTAGAATAAATGCAAGGAGGGTTGCTCCTGAAAATTTAAAGGAATAATTTTGAATATAGCTGGGTGGTTGTTAATAAATCTGGACAGTTCAAAGTTAAACTCCAGTCACCCAACCCTAGTAAAAAGTAGGGTCATCAGTCTATATAGAAAAGGTCAAATGTGCATTAACTAGAGGCACATCTTACAATTCAGAAACGATCCAGTAAATCAGTCTGTAAACAGTCCAGTTACCCCATCTGCAACTCAGTGAGAAAGCCAATCAGTAAGCCAGTGAGTCCCTGGAAGTCACTCAGCCATATACACACAGTGCTGGCTTCTTGCAGCGTGGATTCTGGTCATGTGACTGGAGTTATTCACTCCTCCCTCGCACACAAAAATCAATACTTCCAGTCCTCGCTCTGTGTGTGTGACTTGGTATCGACTGGATAATGTCAGCGTGATATTGGCTGTGAATGCAGTCATGTTGCCAGCTTCTCTCTCTCTCTCACACACACAGTAAGCCCTGAGTGTGTGTTTCATGTCAGCACTGAAAGTTCATCACAGTCAAATCCTTTCTATCTGGACTCATTAATCCATTTCAGTACAACAGTACAACCACTTTAATGCTGAATTTTTGTTTTTATTTCATGGACAGTTGCTGGCTGCTAGTTTGGATGATGAAACACTCTTAAAATAGACCCATTTTAATATTTTATTTTATTTATTAATATTTTCTTGGGTTTAGTTTTGTTTCATGACTCTGTGTCTCTCTCTGTCTCCTGTGACTCTAATGGTAACCCAGATTATTTCATTACATGTGCTAAACGCTGGTTATTAACCTCAGCCGGTCTTGGCACAATTGGCCCTTTGCACTCCTGCTGCCTTATATCAACACTGTGACTGTTTCCAATTACAGCCACCTCTCTGAATGAAATTAAACATTTCAATATTGCTGATATATTGCCGATATATTACCGGTATTAATTACGAGATCTGCGGCTGTGATGTGTAATCAGAGGAGATGAATCGTGCAACTCGCCCAGCCGTCCACCCATCACTCCCTCCCTCTCTCTCTCTCACTCTCTCTCTCTCTCTCTCCATTTGTTAACAAGGTGGCCTCACTCGCCCTCGTAGTCTTTTTTTCTCTTACAATCATACACATACACTCTCTGAGGGGTGTCTGTGTGTGTCTATGTATGTGTGTCTAATTCCTGTTGCATTGTGGGAGTCCATTATGCTGTCGCCTGGTGAATGGCTCCCATTGACTTGGCCTTGACATTATAAGCTGCTGGCTAATCTCTTCACTCCATATATTTGTAAAACTCAATCTCGCCGTTGCTTTTCTCAGATTTGTCTTGTTTTCTTCCTCTCGCCTAAAGTGGCTGATTGAAATGTCTAAGTCCCCCTTTAGATTTGTAAAATCTCTAAGAGATAAGCCTTGCATGGTTTTCTTATTGTTAACAAATCCCAGCAAAAGCACATAAAACCATAATGAGTATGTCCTGGGTTTAAATTTGGTGCTATGGCTTTCAGTGTTTTTAAGGCCTCATAACTTCATAATTACCAAAGATGGAAGATTCAATTTTCAGTGCTGGGAAACACACTTTGGCTCTGTTTAAAAACTGAAACCAAATCAATTTTACATTCATTCAAAGTGTCACAATTTCCAGGCAAAAAAATTGCCTTCCATAGCCATCTTCCCGCATCAATGTACTGCGATATGTTGTAGTGTCAACAGCAAAAATCCCCTAATCTATTGTCTATGAAGAATAAGAGGAACATAAACAAGTATTGGCAACCCAGATTGTTGTTTTCACTTTGGTAGATGGTTTGTTTAAAATGTGTATTCCCAAACAAGTATGCGAGTGAGTGATGGCAGTGGCTTGGTGAAATCGGTCCCAAATAAGGCCTTGCACCAAAAACCTCCTTGTGATCGCTTTTGTTATCAGATTTCTGCAGTTGCCTGTAGTTTGGATAGAAGTTGCCAGCTTGTCTGCAAAAACTTGCCATCTACTCTCCAAGCATAAAACTGTAAAGTTATAGTTGCACCTTTTAAAATGTGTTGGCTGCAGTAAGACATTTTGACCAGTTTCCCCTTGTGACTGGCAGCAACCTCCTGCAACCAGTCACCAACCAATCAGGGAATACAAACCTTTCCCTAGCAACCGAGGGTTGCCGGGGGTTGCTGCAGACCGCTGCAGGGCTTTGAGTTGGAACTTTGCTAGTCAAGACTTGTAATACTTTGAAGCTGTTGAAACTCTGTTGTTACTGTTGTTTTGCATTAGTATTTTTTGCATTAATTCTGTCTCTGTTAGTATTTTGTGTTTTTTAAACAGTAATTTCAAACATCTGAATGATACATTTTACTCCCTCACTCTACAGTGTCACCATGGGTTTGCCCCTCAACCCTCCAGCAGATTCGGCCCGTTCAGCCCGTCACGCCCTCTCTCTTATTGCCACCGCCCGGCCGCCTGCCTTCATCACCACCATTGCAAAAGAGGTGTGTTTTCAGACTTCTTTACCAGTTGCTGAAACCAAAGCCATCTTATTAGGTACTCACCAACTGTTTTCCCTCTCCAGCTCTTATAAATATAAGTGTTATATCTTTTCAGGTTCATCGGCACAACGCTGCTCAGGCGAACTCTCAGTCACAGCAGAACATTCACACGACCACTCTGGCCAGAGCCAAGACAGAGATCCTGCGAGTGATCGACATCCTGATTGAGAAGATGCCTGGAGACGTCGTAGATCTTCTGGTTGAAGTAATTCGAACTATATTTGAGATTGATGAAAGATAAAGTTCTCATAAATCCCAGCAAAGGACACAAGCATAATATAATTCAATTAAGTATTTGACTTTACCAAAATAAAAAAGGAGCTCTTTTTACCCTTAGACAACTATTGTTATTAATGATGCCAGTGAAAGCTAGCATCATCCAAAACAGAAAAGACCTGGATGTGCTGAATCAGAAGCTGCTGGCTAGTCAACCCCATGACTCAGGGTTGGATTTATAAACCAAACTAAAGGAGAGTCAGAGAAGATGATCTATTCAGACCCTGGCAATAAAAAGTGTTTAATACATGGAAACAAGCTACATAGGTTAACTTCAACTGCAATAAAAACTGTTCTCCTGATCCTTAGGTGATGGATATCATCATGTACTCTATTGAAGGTTCTCTGGTGAAGAAGAAAGGACTGCAGGAATGTTTCCCTGCTATTTGCAAGTAAGTTTGTCATCAGGTTCAACCCCAAGTAATATCTTCAAACTGGGAGGGGCTGGGAAAGACAAGCTGGGCCCTGACTGCTGTGTTTCGGACATCAGCCTCAGTGCTGGTGGATTAACCAGATCAGTCTATATGCAAGAATATATTCATACATTAAGGTGTGTCAGCCTTAGTGGTGCTATTAGTGTTTCCGTTTGTTTGTTTACATAAAAATTAACCTTGAGGTGGGGGTGGGGGTGAGCCCCCAGAATTGGACAAGAGGAAGAAAATGGATGAATGAAATCTTCCTTCATCGCTAAACATCTTCCCTTATACAGTGTTAAATGTTCATGTGTGTTTGCCGTCCACCTTTTTAGGTTCTACATGGTTGGTTACTGCGACCGCAGTCACCGCATCGCTGTCGGAGCTCGCCAAGGTTCAGTGGCCCTCTACGATGTCCGTACAGGGAAATGTCAGGTACATCGAAAAACCTAAACTGATCAGCTCACTGATCTGGTTTTTACTCTGGACCCCAGCTTTACCCATCCTTTCTTCCACCGCCTCCTTCACACAGATCATCTTCTTTTTCATTCATTTTCCCACTCGCATCCATCCATTCACCCCACTTTGTATTAATCCGCCCCTGCATGTAGCCTTCACGGCCTACGTTAAGGCGTTCAACAGATTTCCAACCATAATTATGACTGCACGCGGAAAACCAGCTCTCTCCACAGATAGGTCTTTAGTACAGAGTGCAGGAGGCAAAGAGAGATTTCATCAATGATTAGAAAACCAAAACGTTAATGTCTGGTATACAAAGTCCTTGAAGCAAGGGAAGGCGAGAAGGTAACCAAAACTCAGATATATTAACTAAACTCTAAGACATCTCAAAACTTCAGCACCATCATGTTTTCATCCTTTTATAATTAGAAAAGACATGTGAGCAGGTAAACTGAGTGTTCAGTTTTTGTCTTTGGCTTTTGCACGCACTGATGTCATTATTTGGCCATATTTAATCCATCTGAAACAGCAGATATGACAGAAAATTAAGCATAATAGATGCCTTTAATCTGTTTTCTCATTATGTTGGAAATTTTCCATCTGTTTGCAAACAGGATGCTTTAGCTCAAACTGGAGGAAATGAGGAGGAGCAGAAACAGTAGGTTTAAATGAGAGAGGAGGAGATAAGGAGGAGAGGAGTTTCATTTTTTCACCCCTCAGTAATTGATTAATGATGAAGCAATGACTCTCTTAATCATGTTTGTGTCTCGCGCGTGTGTGTGAGCTGCTGGTCTCCATGTTTGTGTGTATTTCTTGTATGAGTGGGTGTGTGTTGATAATTTGCTGTGTATTGATTTGCAGTAACCTGAGCAGTCTACTCTGGTGGAGGGGGTCATTTATATCTGATAACAGCACGGGCCTTTTCACCCAACATCTCGTTTGATTGTGAGCAAGTTTGTGTGTGTGTCTGTGTCTGTGTGTCTGTGTGTCTGTGTGTGTGTGTGTGCGCGTGTGCGAGACAGGAGACACTTTGTGTGTGTTATTTGCAGTAATTAACTTTTAATAGATAATGGCTTTGTGGGAAGTGTGTGTCTCTCTGCTGGAACCATTACAGGTGTTTTATTTCAGGTGCAACATAAAGCTATTATCTTTATTAACACACTTACAGAAACCTCTATCAAGTGATGGGTAATTAATTCAGCCAGAAAAGAAGAATGTTTAAAGCTCACTATTTCTTAAATGGTCTTCCCACAGCTGTAATTAAAACCTGTACAGCAAGGCTTCTAGCTGCAGCAATGTTCCAGGCACCTAATATTAGTCGATTAAACAGTAGAGGAGTCTAAAAGTGAGCAAACACTCAGAAAACGGTTAAAATTAAGCGCAGGCTAATGGATGAGGTTAAACATTGGCCAGACAAATACTTTGCCTGTATTTAGGAGTCTTTTAAAAAACAGAATTAGCATTTATAAACAACCAGCTCTTGAGTGTAACCAGTGGTTTGCACTTTGTTGTAAACCCTCTTTATTTACATACTTGAGAACCTCCCATGGTTCAGTAGCTTGGGAAGCCACCTTCTCTGTATGACTTCAGTCTCTCACATCATGGGGGAAGGATTTTGACCAACTTATCTTTACAACATTGCTTCAGTGCATTTAGGTTTGCAGGCATTGGTTTATGCACAATCCTAAGTAGAATATTTTGGTCTGTGGGGGAGTTCATGGATGACTCAATGACTGTAAGGTTACCCTTGTCCTGTAGCTTCAAAGCAAACCCAAATCAGCACCCCTCCACCACCACCATGGTTGGCTATAGCTCAGGCAGTAGAGCAGGTCATCTACTGATCGGAAGGTTGGTAGGTAGGTTTGATTCCTGGCTTCCCCTAGTGTGCATGCTAAATATCCTTGGGCAAGATACTAACGCCAAATTGCTCTCCGATGTATCCATCGGAGTATGAATGTGTGTGTTAGTTAGAAAGCACTAAGAAAATGTTCTGGTGTGAATGTGTGAATGCACAAGTTGTGTAAAGCGCTTTGAGTGCTCAGAAGAGTAGAAAAGCGCTATATAAGAACCAGTCCATTTACCACCACCACCGCTGATACGTTGTTTGGTTTTCTCCAAACGTGGTGGTGCTGCGCATTATGCTTGAACATGGTAAATGGCCTGTATTTGTATAGCGCTTTTACTTAGTCCCTAAGGACCCCAAAGCGCTTTACACATTCAGTCATCCATCCATTCACACACAAAGAATCGAAAGTGTAGTTCAGAAAACTTCGGTTTTGTATTATTCTGCAGTCAAAGAGTTGCAACAAAAAAATATTTTTCCTCAGAAGTGAAAGAGGTTTTCTCTGCTCTGTGATGTAAGTGACACGCTGCACTGCAAATTAAATGATTTTGATGATGGTGATGTTGAAGAAGAGGGGTTATCGTGGCAGATTAATTAAATTGAAATTAAATGATTTTAATTACATCAAATTAAACACTGGTGATGGCAAGCTACCAGTCATCCGCCCTGGGGCGCACCGACAGAGGCGAGGCTGCCGGACACTGGCGCCACGGGGCCCTCTGACCACCACCAGTAGGCAACGGTTGAAGTGTCTTGCCCAAGGACACAACGACTGAGACTGTCGGAGCCAGGGCTCGAACCAGCAACCTTTCGATTACAAGACGAACTGCCACGATCTCCCCTCTTCTTCAACATCACCACTTTGGTTTCGTCTGTCTAAGGGACATTGTTCCAGAAGTCTTGTGGTTTGTTCAGATGCAAGTACAACAACAATGATTTTTTTGAGGAAAAAAATCATTTAATTTGCAGTGTAGCGTGTCACTTACATCACCGAGCAGAGAAAACCTCTTTCACTTCTGAGGAAAAATATTTTTTTGTTGCAACTCTTTGACTGCAGAATAATACAAAACCGAAGTTTTCTGAACTACACTTTAGATTGTTTCACCAGACTCAGTTTAGAAAATCATGCACTCATAATAGTCAGCTTGCCAATGTCCATCCATTCATTCTCTTCCTCTTATCCTTATCGGGGTTGCAGGGGGGCTGTTCCAAGTTACACAAGTAAATTGCTGTGTACTCAAAAGGGGAATTCAGAAACTTTGTGTTGCATCACCTCCAAGAATGTCAGCTGTCAGTTTGTATTCATGACAACTTAAAATAATCATCACAATAGAGGCCAGCTTCGTCCTCCATGGGGATACATTTTCTTCTTTCTTTTTTTTTTAATCGTAAAAATTTAACGCAGCAGCAGAAAGTTGTCAGATCTCTTTAGAGACTTCTGAATAAACGGCATCTCCTTGGAAAAATGGGAACATCTAGATTTCCAAGAATTTCGGAGGAGCTAAATTGTTTGACTTGTTTTAGTGTATCTAAAACAAAGTGAGAAGGAGGAGAGAAAGGAGAGACGACCTCTCTGAAATAGTGGAGGAGGCGAGAAATGGGGACCAGAAGAAAAGCAAAGACGGAGAGTAGAAGGAGATGAGAGGCAGTTTTTGTTCATAATCCATCTTTGCATGTGTGTGTGTGCAAGCGGGTGTGTGTGTGTCCAACCGTAGCTAGCTAGTCCCCGCATGACCATCTGCCACGGCTTTGATCAGCCTCCGTGAACAGCCCTTTGTCAGCAGCATGTGTGTGTGTGTGTCTCCAGCTGCTTGCTTCTTTAACAGACTCTACTCAGTCTACTAATTGAACACAAAGAAACAATCTGAGTGATTTCGTACCTCTTTCTGCATCTGTTTCTCTCTAACAGCTGAAACCTGCAGCTGAAGGTGGCAGTGTAGCCAAAATTAACCTGAAGAATCGTCTCCCGCAATGCATGACATGATGAATTAATGTAAACTGTGTCCCTATTCTGGTGGTAATTGGGCTACTGTGATACCTACACCACGTTCAGCTGCTATTTGCTGTTTAAAACACTCTATGAGGAACATGTTTTTAACTGCGGATGTTCCTGGAAACTAAATGCTAAAGTTATAAATGAGGGGAAAAATGAGTCTAAAAGTAAGAAGACGTACTCTGGTCATATAAATAGTGTCTGTGTATTTAAGTGCTATTTGAAAGTATTAATCTAGTTCTTTGATAACCATATTGCATTTTAAATGGACGAGGATTTGGGTAGAAGCCTCAGTTAGATGTCAGTTTAATCCCACAGCCAATAAACAGCCACTCCTCTTATAATTCAAAGTACTGTTTCTACCTTTAAATTGTTACAGTGTTCAACTAGTTAAAAATTTGAAAGATTTTAATTTCTGGTGTCAACTAGCGAGAACAGTAACAGC